CTCTTTCCTTTTGAATGTTCATCAAATTGAACAGATAAGGAAAAGTGAATCAGTTTCTCAAACATGTTTAAGATCAATCTTGTGTATTTTAGTGTCATCTCTCTCTATCTCTCCTTTGAACTTGCCTTGGTTTATTGAATTTTGCTTTCATAACTCTCAGGGAATCTGCAGAAACATGCCAAGGCAACAAAGAAGGCTAGGAGGAAACAGAGCTGCACTTTTTGTATACGGTAACAGCTTCAACCCTTTAAACTTTTCTGTTTGTAAACCAATATATCATATAGTCTAGAACTAAAAACTAATTTCTTGATTCATTTGAAGAGTTTGCATCTCCTAATAGATGTTCTTTCATTCTTACCAAATACTCAAAGAACATGATCGTCGGTCAACCACACACAATTTGTTCTAAGAAACATGAAATATTCCACTTTGTGTATGCAGCTATGGAAGGGCTAGAGAGCATGGCTTTCGTTTCCAATGCTGTGAGCCTAGTAACTTACTTCTTTGGGTACATGAACTTCGGCATAACAAAGTCTGCCACAACCCTGACCAACTTTTTGGGAACTGCCTTTTTACTACCACTGTTTGGTGGAATAATCAGCGATGCCTATCTCTCTAGATTCAAGACTTGTGTTCTGTTTGCGTGCATGGAATTGCTGGTAAGTTTAACCAATTTCTCTCACGAGTGTATTGTTTTCCCGCATCACGACATGAGTTTTTGTTAGAACTATCATTTTGGAACAATCTTGTGAATGAACATCTCTTACTGAAAACTTTAGTCAACCGTTATAACTGTAGTGTTGAATTATTGAAGCTCTGGTTGTTTCTTGACTGGCATGACTGAACACGTCTCTCAATCTTCCATGAAAGAGTAGTTTAATTCACTCCAACATCGTACCTTGTCTTTACTCGAAGAGAAACTGTATTATTACATTTGTTTTATACAACTTTTTTGAATGACAGAGTGACAGAAAGAAAAAGATAAAGCCTACTTATAAAACATGATAAGGACATGTTTGATTAAAATAAAAAGTATGTGACGACTTTTTCTCATCTAACTCTTTAATGGTCCATAATCCATCTAAACAAACATATCATGATATATATAAAAAAGGTTCTCTCGACGTCCGTTCATCAATATATATACATATATGTTTAAAATCCTTCATGATTTTTAGACAAACTTGACCAGAATTGTTTTTGCAAATCGATCAAGAATTTTTTTTAAGTTGGCATGGATGGAAAAGTAAGAAAAAGTATTTCTAATGTTAAAAGAGTTGCCTTATTAACTAATTTCAACCAAAATAATTAAGAGTCAGATAAAAGACAACCTCAATGTTAATTTGAAAAAATAAAATTGTTAACACGAGTTGGAAAATATGACCAAATTTAAGTGAAAATTATAAAAAAGAATATCATCAACTAATATTTTTAAATTATTAATTATTAAAATAAAATTTCGTGTCTGATAATAATTGAAACACTTCGTCTAAATAGAAAAAAAAATTAAACTTATTTCATGTCAATAAAGTATTTGCAAAACAAAATAATTTGAATTGAATTTAATATATGTTTTTTTTTGTAATTCAATATTCTGTCTCTGAACCCGATAATATTAACGAAAAAACAAAAAAATGGGATAGGGAAATTCTCTCCTAAAAAAATTAAAATAAATAACAAAAGGATTTCTCATCTTACGTGAGACTTTTCATTAATTTTCTGTTTAAACATCCAACACTGTAGAATAGAAAATTTTTTATGTTACTATTTTTGTTGTTTAAATGTGAATGTTAAATATGATATATAAACTATTTACAGGGATTTGGTATTCTAGCAGTTCAAGCAAAGTCCCAGAAATTAAGACCCATCCCCTGCAAAGATTTAGCAGTAACCCAGATGAGTGAATGTAAGGTTGCCACAGGGGGCCAAATTGCAATGCTTTATAGTGGGCTATACCTTGTTGCTTTAGGAACTGGTGGAATTAAGGCTGCTTTACCTGCCTTGGGGGCTGACCAGTTTGATGAAAAAGATCCGAAGGAGGCATCTCAACTATCGAGCTTTTTCAACTGGTTCTTGTTCAGTCTTACCATAGGATCAATAATTGGTGTTACTTTCATTGTTTGGATCGGTGCCAACCAGGGATGGGATTGGAGCTTTATCATATGCACCATAGCAATTCTTTTCTCAATTCTCTTCATATGCATGGGAAACTCATTATACCGAAACAATGTTCCAAAGGGAAGTCCTCTACTTCGAATCCTACAGGTACTGTCACTATAACTGCCTCCTAAGTTAATAAAAACCAGTCACTATTCAAATCATGTTGAGTAATCTCTTACAAATTAAAAAATGTTATCTATGAACTTCAGAGATTATAGTGGTGAGTATTCGATATTTCAAAAATTTCTCACAGTTTTGTTGTACTGTTAGGTGTTCGTGGTAGCCTTCAGAAACAGAAAAGTTCAGATTCCAGATAACACAGACGAACTGCATGAGATTCATGAAAAGCAAAGAGGGGACAATGTTGAAATTCTTAAAAGGACAGGACAGTTCAGGTAACGAAATTAACGGAAAAAATGATTGAATGCAGTTAACTCCAGTGCCGGCTGATTATTATTCTTTGACTTCAAAGTTTTGTTTATCAGTTCCTGATTTGGTTTTCTTGGAACAATAAACTCAGATTCTTAGACCGAGCAGCAGTTGTTGAAAGCAGCACAGGTACCTCAACCTCCGAACACTGGAGACTGTGCACAGTGACCCAAGTGGAAGAAACAAAAATCCTAATCCGCATGCTACCGATAATACTCAGCACCATCTTCATGAACACTTGTTTGGCTCAACTTCAGACCTTCACAGTACAACAAAGCACCACCATGAACGCCAAAATAGGGGGCTTTAAAGTGCCAGGAGCCTCTCTCCCAGTCATCCCTTTGTTGTTCATGTTTATCCTAATCCCCTTATACGACCGTGTTTTTGTCCCGGTTGCTCGAAGAATCACAGGGATTCCGACCGGAATTCGACACCTTCAGAGGATTGGCATCGGTTTGGTTCTGTCTGCTGCTTCCATGGCAGTGGCAGGTTTTGTGGAAACACGCCGCAAGTCTGTAGCCATCGAACACAACATGGTGGACAGCACAGAGGCTTTGCCGATGAGTGTGTTCTGGCTGGGGTTCCAATATGGTATTTTTGGAGCTGCGGACATGTTTTCACTGATAGGACTATTGGAGTTTTTCTACGCAGAAAGTTCAGCCGGAATGAAGTCACTTGGCACTGCAATTTCCTGGTGTTCTGTGGCATTTGGATACTTTACAAGCACAGTGGTCGTTGAGGTGGTTAACAAAGTGAGTGGAGGGTGGTTGGCTAGCAACAACTTGAATAGGGACAAGCTCAACTACTTCTACTGGATGTTGTCCGTCATAAGTGTTGTGAACTTTGGATTTTACTTACTTTGTGCTTCTTGGTATACATACAAAACCGTGGAAGTCCAGCAAGATGATTCAAAAGATAATGTGGACATCACCAAGGTTTAGATTATTAGACCCGCAATATAATTTTTAAGTAGCTCTGTTATCTGTTATAAATATTAGAAACCTCCATGAAGTCCCTTGATAGTCAAACAACCAATGGAAATTGCAGAACAGTGTTTGATCAATAGCAACTTATCAAAAGCTCAACAGATAAACCAAAAAAGCATTGCTTGGATTTGGTGCCAAATTTAGTTCTGAAACATAGGCTAGAGGATGAACGTCAAAGAGCTGTTGTCGATTTGCCTGTGTTTACAGCGACTGGATTATAAAGTGAACTGCTTCGATGATGAATTAGTAAAAATTTACGTTGATTCAGGAATCAAATCTAAATTTAGAGTAAAAGCATAGAAGTTGAATCGATGAAAAAAAAAAAGTCATATAAATAGAAATGTCTTATAAATTAAATCATCGTACAAAAATGTGATAATACTATTTTTTTTTTCAAAATTATCATTAATTTTATCATTATACATTTTGTCATTCATGATTATAAATAATTTTCATTAATAATTATTGAAGTATACCTTGAAATATGATTTTAATTTGTGTAATTTAAAGTATAGAATGTCTACGCACAAAAATGGTGAGGAAAGAGAATGTACATCACATTTCAAAGTTTAAACATTTTTCCTAAATATGCGAATTTAAAAGTACTGAGGAATAATTAAAAATACTGGAAAATAGACGTTATCTATATCTGATTAGTTACTATACTTAGTTCGCATGACTTAATTTATCTGAATGTTTTTAATATACAGATTCTTTAATTTCTTTTATCTTTGTATTTCTTATTTATTAATTAAAATTTTAGTTTTCTACTATTTTAAAAACTACTTATTATAGTTAAAAATGATTTTCTTGAATAATTATAGTAATCAATAAAAATTAAAAAATGTTATAATTACTTCGATGGTTTAATTTTACTTTTCATTTTGATAAAAAAATTACAAATACTTCTATAATATTATAATAACATTATAAAATCAATAACTAAAAAAACTACTTTTGTAATGCTTTCTATACATATTTTTATAACTTCAACAATATTTTAGAAACATTTTTTAATAAATTTATCTTAATAATTAATTTGTTTAACAAGCGTATGTTTCATAATTAATTATAATAAAAATTAAAATAATAAAATGTAATTTTATCACTTAATCCATTGCAGTTTTAATCCAATTAAACAATTTAAAAAGAAATTAATTGTCTTTCTAGCCCTTTCGACTCCATCAATCCAAATGGTACAAATTTTTACTCTAAATTCCATCCAATTTATTTACTCTATTTTCCATTTTTCATCTGCTATCGAAACAAAGTGCAAAGAAAAATATTCAGCCACGTAGTCAGGTCAGATAACCAGGGCCGTACATGTCTAGTGTTTTGTTGATCCAGGTGGATCAAGTTAACCGACCCTTTGTACTCCACAACTCTTACGGCACAAGATAAATTGAAAAGAAAAAATACAAAGAGTGGAAAGAATTCGAAATTGCACTGTTACTTGATTTTAAAATAGGCAACCATAATTGTGCAATACAATTTCATGTACGACTGAATGGCGTTACAGAATCAAATTACGAGGAGGCTTGATTATGAAACTAACAAGGAGCCCAAGTAGCTCAATGACAAATCTAACCTCGAGATTCTAGCTTTCAGATAGTATACATACATGAAAGAATACAAAACAAATCAATCATCATGTTAAATTATATGGGGTAAAATCATACCATGCATTTGTAATTCTTTTTTTTTCTCCCCCGTACTTCAGCAAAGAGAAACACATTTGACTTGGATGGCATAAAGAACGCATAATGGTATTATTAGGTCATTGACAAATTTGTATCAACGAATAAGATATTCATCCCAAACTGTATGCAGAGCTAGCTCACGCAGGCTCTTCTTAGAGAATCTTTGAATTGAAAGCTCAATCCTGGGCAAAAACAGGAGAAGCTATCAATTTAGAACATATGAAAGTATCTGGAAACCTTCATCACCCTCAGATCAGAAAGCAGCTGGATTCATGTCAAGAAATTGCCACAGATTTGTTCCTAGGAGGCAGTTTACGAAGGGTGTCAGAGTCAGACACCTTGGGTGGAGGCCAGTACCTAAACATGGATCTACCAACAATGTTCTCGATTGGGAGGGGGCCCCTGATAGACACAAAAAACAGCAAATAAAAGTTAACTCAGACATCATTAATCCGATATGTGAACAATCACATGTTTCAAAGTTCTGAGATCTGATAACAAATTTTTACATAAGTTAGATTGTTTTGAGAAGAACAGCATCAACAAATGGGCCAAAATCTGTCGTCGACCTATACTAAAATATCTTTCAGCATAAACAAGAAAAAGTAAGTTCGAAAAGGGCTGAGAAATTACCAGTTGTGAGAATCAAGGCTGTTATTCCGATTATCTCCCATTACAAACACATATCCTTCTGGCACAACCTGCGATAAAAACACAAAACCACTATTAATCATGCAGTCAAGCCCCACAATAATTCAATCAAACACTACTACAGCTTCAGTTTGCAAACATTACCATTGGATCCATCTCATAAGCTAGAGGTTCTAATAGAAATTCCTGTTCTTCAGCCACACCATTTACCAGTAGTTTCCCATCTCGAACCTACAACAAAAACCCAAGCATGCATAAGACTATAACTTAAAAGAACAAGGCACAACACTAGATCAATTAACTTAATCAAAATATAAAAGCATACCTCAACACAATCCCCTGCCTTAGCCACAATCCTCTTTATAAATACATCAGACGAAGTAAAACCATACTCCTACATAACAACAGAAACCAATCAATAAACATCACAATTAACAAGTCAACACCACCTTAAAACATTCAACAAAAAAAACAAATGTCTTCGAATCATACCTCCAAACAGGGAGGCGCTTTAAAAATCACTATATCCGAAACATCAGGCTTCCTGAAGAGGAACGAAACCTGTATCAGACATTAACAACCTAATTAGTTCCAAAGAAGCAAAACAATAAAAAAGCGACATAATGACAAAAACAATTTAGTCAAACAGAACTAATAACTAACCTTCTCGGTTAAAACGCGGTCACCCACTTCAAGAGTAGGATACATAGAAGCGGAGGGAATGGATCTAGGTTCAGCCAAAGACGATTTAAACAGCAAACTGACGGTAATGGCAGTGAACGCAGCCTTCGCATCTTCAGAAGACACGTTCAAAAGCCGCGAAAGCCAACTAGTCTTTCCAAAACCGGGAACATCACTCGGAACGGTGTGTTTCGTGCCACCTTTATCGACCTCCCACGTGGTGGGGTCGGGAATGGACTCGTTGCAAGGAAGCCACTTCGAACCGGGCAAGAAGGGAATAATGGAATTTGTTTTGAAGGGAGAAATACCGAAAATACCCGCAGCCGCCGCGGATGACCCAGACACACCCGCCGTTGACTTCATAATTGAAATCAGGCCCAAGATGATTGGACTCTTGCAGCCGTCGCCGAGAAACTCACCGGCGAGGGTGGAGTAAGTGGACTGGGCCCAACAGTTGGACCTGGAGAAATTTCGGACTCCGCCGGCGGAAGAATCTAGTTCCGTTTTCTGGGTGGCGCCGAAGAGGCGCGTGCGGATCCAGCATTCTTGGACGCATCGCGAATTGGCGACGCGGACGCCGGCGGAGGAGACGAGATTCTGGGCTACGTAGCCAGAGAAGGAGAAGGTAACTCGAATCGCCATAACTACGAAGTTGATTAATCGCAGAAAGAAAAGGTACAGGGTGCTTTCGGGGAAGCGGATTTGACAGTTGGGAAACCCTAGCAAGCGACGGGAAGCATTTTCAAAGAGGGAATCAGAAAAGCGAAAGCGAGATAGTCGAATTGAAAGGCGGGGGGGCAAACAGGGTAGGGAACCGCCGCCGACGCGATCCCCTGAACACCGGAAGAAGGAGCGAGGGAGAGGTAGAGAGAGAGAGAGAGAGAGTTTGGTTGGGTGCAGAGAAGAAGTGTGAGAAGGAAGAAAACCAAAAAAAATGAAACACGAACTACGTTTGGAAATGGATTTTATATACGGCGGCTCCCACACTTTAAGCCTCAGAATTATCAAACTTTGCTTAATTCTTTATTTACGATATTACCTATCTATCCCTCAGCGCATCTAATGTTAAGTCTTTGACTTCATTTCATTTTTATTTTTTTATAACCTTTTTCTCCTTTTTCATATCTATCTTCCACTTGATGGATAAAAAATATTTCAACTTAGTCTCCATGTTGTGCTCTAGGTGTATTGTCTTTAAAAAAGAACCTGAGAGGGTGAATATAACTAGATTTTGAATAAAAAAATATAGAAATGTTCGGATTAAGGAAATGATGATAAAAAGTAAAAATATCTGAGAAAAAGATTATGAAAATTTGTATATGATGAAATTAGTTTAATAATGTGAAAAATATTATTAAAATTAGAATATTATTATTTTATTATTAATCGTAAAAGTTAAAATAAAATAAAATCAATGTAAGTTATGTTAACATGAAATGTGAGTTATTAATTAAAATAAAAATTTTAAAATTATAAAATTATATTGAAATAAAATAAAACCGAGGGAAATTTAAATTCAAATAAATTATTAGTGAGTGACTAGTTTAAATAAAATTATTATTATTATTATTATTATTATTATGAAATGTAAGTTATTATTATGAAATATTTTCTCTTCACATAATAATTGGATAACTTGCTGTAGTTAATGACGAGACACTAAAAATTACAGTCACGTTATTCCGTTTTCAACTGGTTCAACGGAAACGAGGGATGAGAAATTGGGAACGGGATCAGGTTCTTTGCACTTGAATTTTCAACTGCATTTTAAAATGAATTTAATCATTAAATTATAAACAAATATATATACTATTTGATTTATACATCAAATTATATATATATAAAAAAACTGGTTTGAAACTGCATGGTTTGTTCACTGTTCTTTTCAAATGCACGTGTTCCCGTCCATAGAAATCAGCGTCAAAAATAAAACTTATTTCCTTCAATAATTTTTCGTAAGTTTTAAGTTTTACTAAATTTATTTCTTTGGTTGATGGTTTCTTCTAAAATAAATTAGGTTAATAAAGAATTTAAAAGTTATTTAGTATTTGATTGATCTATTTTATGTTAACACAGTAGCCAATAAAATAACGACGCGAAATCCTTAGGAACTCCTGCTGCGTCATACGTGACGTATGTGCATCTGTCATTTAATAATTTAATGAAATTGTATAGATAAAAAGTTGAAGGGTACAAGTCAAAGGGAATCATAAATTAAAATAATATTTATGTACCGAAAACTTAAAATAATTCTAATTAGGAAGCTGACAAGTCCGTTCCCCAACTGTCAGAGTAAAGTTGACGGCGGGTTTTTGTTTGACTGAGACGAAAGTGAAAATGGAAACAAGTAGGAACTGAGAACATGTTTTTAGCAACATATTTTTTTTTATTGGATATTATTTATTACCATTCTTTATTTTCTCTTTCTTTTAAAAATAAAAAAGTTAAATTTTAATAAAACCATTTTATTTTAATAAAAATTATCAAATTGTATCAAATACTTTATTTTCCTAGTGTTTTAGTAGAGATTTTGTGAGACACTAACTTTTGACTTGTGTGCTTCGCTTATATGCTTCCAGTATAGACTGATCGGTCACCCTCGTGCAAAAAGGGATGCAAAAGGCATTGTTTGTTACTGTTAAATATTTAAGTCTTGATCGGACGTAAGTAAGGTGTACTGGAGTATGAGTTGAACGTGTGTTTACCTCAAACCTAAACCCTATTTATAGAGTTTAAATGAATCTGACCAATTAATTTACCTCTTAATGGTCATCAATGCAAATATTAACTGTCTAGTCGTTACCACATTTATTTATGCATTAACTTTGTCCAATAGTTGTCGGGAACGAACGACTAAGAAGCTTTATCCTGCATGCTAACCGTTAAGTTCCTCAAGGTCCTATGTCATCTTTACCGATCAGTCGGCTATGAACCCATAGTAACAGTTTGCATTACTTTATTTTGTACTTCTTTTTAATATGTATTCAATATTTTTCAATAAACAAGCAATAAAGTTAAAAGAATAAACACAAACAAATATAATGATTTAAAAAAGAAAAAGAATGGTACTAATGATATCTCAAAGCAAATGTAAGATTTTAAATCGCAGGAAGACACAAGGACGGTGTTATTTAGAGAAAGTAAAACAACATTACATCGTATCTAGTGGAGGTTAAAAAATTACCACAAAAAATGACACATTATTTTTATCTTTAATGAGAGGAACAACATACATGTCAACTTTGAAGTTGTGCTCAAGGAAACACAGAAGCTTCCTTTTTTTGTAGCTATACATTTTTAGAATAAATAGAAATTGAAAGTGTGTTAATTTTTTTTATAAAAGTTATAGTTTCTTATTCTGAGATAATTAATAAAAACAATAGATAATATATATAATTGTCCTTATAAAATAATATTACTATCTAATAAATTAAGCTTTTCAGAGTTGTCGGAACCATTAAATTCAACTTTTAGTGGAAGCCAGGTGTAGGTATAAGGGTTTGGAAAATTCAGAAAGTGAAAGACAAATGTGTGTAGCTGGTTGGCCGATCGGTTTTTGACGATAGTATATATGTAAAATTTTCAAATGTTGAGCCACTTTTGCGCACCTCTTCTCTCCAAATTTTTGAGTTTCTCCTCCTTCTCTCTACAATTCTCCTCATTCTCTCTAAAAATCCTCACTTTCTTCTTCTGTTGATCATCATCTAGGCCATGTTTGAATTCTTTCTTGGTGGCAAGAGTTTCTTTTCCATCAATCCAACTGTTGTGTGAAGTGGGTAAGTAATTTCTCTCGTTCGTTAAAGTTTCTGTAATTTCTGATACATGCAAGCATTGTTCTGCTTGCATGTGTTCTCATCCATCTCTCTCTGAACCTGTTTCTGTTTTGATCCTTTGGTTGATCCCTTTTCACCGATCGGAATTGTAGTGGGTTGCTTTAGAAGTGATTGCTGGTTATTCAAAGTGGTGGAGGCTTAGGAAATTCCTAGTTTATTCAAGGTAAGGGAAGCTAGTGATTTAATTATATTTTCCTGTGTTTGGAATTGAGTGTGAATGTTTGCATGTATGAATGATGGTATGTTTGATTGAATTGTATTCAAATTTTGTGTTTGACCGAGACATGTGAACTGGATTGGAGTTCCTGTTGTAGAACGTTCGGTCAGTCTGGGTGGGAGAAGAAAATGTGTGAAAATGTGAGTGGTGAGCAGTGTTTAATAGGTTCAATGGAATAGGTTTAAAATAACTTAGAAATCACGTTTAGAGGGTTAGAAATTAAGAAAAATATCTTGTTTTGGTTTAAGAAGTGTTATTCAGAGATTTATTTTGTTGACCATTCAACTTTGTTACGTTCTCAATCATTAACTGGGTTCAGTCTATTAGCAGTATTATCTATTTATGACTGTTCGGTCTAATCACAGTGTTCTAATATTAAACTAGTGTTCAGTCTGGATAGAGTATCTAATAACCTCTAAGTACTTGGTCTAGTATAATATTAGGTATAAGTTTTTAAGAGTTTCAGTGTAAGTTATGAGTGTGTGGTTTAAACTCTTTGGGTTGGGCTAAGTGCCTAGTAGTTATTTTCTATGGTGGTCAATCAATAATAGCGTTCGGTCAGTTTCTTCTGTTTTGTCTCTTATGAACCGTTCGGTACTCTCAATTGGGTAGTGTGAATGTGTTTGGTCTCCAACGTTCACATGTTCTCTTTATTCTGTGAATGAAAATATAAATGACGAATGATAGATTATGGTAAATATGAGAATGTTGAACTTTTGAATACTGTGAAAGAGAATTTCAGGGCAAAATGTCTCATGTATGGTTATTGATTTGTAAAGTATGAATATGGATATGATAAGCTGGTGTTCATCCTGAAATTCTGAGTATCATTCTCACATAGAGAGAGGTATATCATTTGTGAGAATAGCAGGAGGTTCTACCACCTCAGGGTGCCGAGGTAGGTATTATGGGATTAACTTTGGGTAGTTACACTACCATAAGTGCAAGGACGACTGTAGCTACATACTCATACAATCCGGATGGTCAAGTTATAGTGTTTGGTTTATATACATATAAGAACGGTGGTGTTCGGTCTGTCTGTGATTAATTGTATTCAGTGTTTGCATGATGTACCGTTTCGGTTTCATACGTATTGAACTTGCATGAATTGTATTTATGTGCCTATAATTAAATTACATCAGTTTACCCTACTTTCTTGTTTTGTCTTGTTATGTCCGTCCGATTATCTTTTCTTTTGCAATGATCATCCTGGGAATGTGAGCAGAAGGTGATGAGTGTTCGGTGGAGCAAGCATTGGAAAGCGATGATCCTGTTGCTTAGGTTAAGACCGCTCAGTCATTAGTTGTGTATGTTTTTAGATTTGATCGTTCGGTCAATAGGTTTAACTTCTCTTTTGTAAATCGATCGATTTATACAAGATATTTTTATCAAACTTTTGTTATTTTGTAAAATTTTTAGTTTTATGATTATTTTGTATAACTGAAATGTTAAATACTCTACTAACTCTTGATGAACTCTTCTATCTTATTATTATATGTGATTAATGTATGATATATTGTTATGATATATTTTGAGATGTTACATGGATCTTGATTAATCATTTACTAATATAGTTAAATTAAATATTAGTTATACAAACAATTATTTGATTCAATTAATTGTTTACAATATTATTATTTTAAAGATGAAGGGGAAAACAAAGAGATTATCAAATAATAAATACTATTCTATCTTTCATAACGTTTCATGGATAAAATAATCTTCAATCAGCTCATTCGGCTAGATTGGATAACATTTACATTAAAGAAAAAAAAAATCTTTTGTGTTTATATGTTTACAGTGCAACTTTATGTCTAGGAACTAGTAGAAATGATAGAAAGATGTGCACCCCGTCTAGTAGCCGGCAATGGTAGGTGGAGGGGGTGAAGCATAAGAAGAGCCGAAGTGAGGGGGAAGGACGACGTCTTCCATAGGAGGCGAAGGAGTTGGTGTAGGAGGTGGTGGAGACTGCACTGGTGGCGGTGGAGAGTACACTGGAGGTGGTGGAGAGTACACTGGAGGTGGTGGAGAGTGAACAGGCGGCGGAGGAGAGTAAACTGGTGGAGGAGGAGATTGAACAGGTGGAGGTGGAGAGTGAACTGGGGGAGGAGGAGAGTGAACAGGTGGAGGTGGAGAGTAAACTGGGGGAGGAGGAGAGAAGACGGGTGGAGGAGGAGAATGGACGGGTGGGGGAGGAGAGTGAACGGGTGGGGGAGGAGATTGGACGGGTGGTGGTGGAGAATGCACTGGGGGGGGAGGGGAGTGAACCGGTGGTGGAGGAGAGTGAACCGGTGGAGGAGGAGAGTGAACCGGTGGTGGAGGAGAGTGAACCGGTGGTGGAGGAGAGTGAACCGGTGGGGGTGGAGATTGAACAGGGGGTGGTGGGGAGTGGACAGGTGGTGGAGGAGAGTAGACAGGTGGTGGAGGAGAGTGGACAGGTGGTGGAGTTCTTTCACGATTCTTGGGTGATTCGCTGTGGGTATCATCCTGTGGTGGTGGTGAGGGTGTGGGTTGTTGAGGCGTGGGGGGAGTGGGTTGTTGTTGTTGTGGAGTTGGGGTAGGTGGTGGCTGTGGCTTAGGTGTCGGAGGGGGAGAGCTGGGCTGTTGCTGTTGTGAAGGGGTGGGTGGAGATTTGGGCTGTGGTGATGGTGTCTGTTTCTCACTTTTAGGTGGCGAGGGTGACTTAGACGGCGTTGATGGAGAACCGGAAGATGGAGAGCCCCCATGGCCACACTTGTTTTTGCTACAATCCACAGGCTTGCTTATCACCTCGTTACAAACGTTTGACTGTTTTTGCTTTGGCCTATCTGGTATGCAATTATTCTCATCCTCCAACAGAGGCTCTTTCTTTTGAGGTACGCAACCTTCTTCCTCTCCGTTGAAATAGTTATCGGCGAATGTGAAGTTCACCAAATGGGGCAAGCTGCAAACATTACGAGGGACAAAACCTGTAAACTTGTTATGTGAAATGGACAAGTACTCAACGTTCTTAAGCCCATTGAAGTTCCTCGGCAACACGCCAACGAAGTTGTTGTAGCTTATGTCAAACACCGTAACTTTTTCGAGTTTTCCAATTTCTTCTGGCAAGCAACCGGTGAGGTTGTTGTTGACCAAAACAAACTCGTTTAGCGACTTCATTTCGCCGACGCTGGAAGGCACGCATCCTGAGAAATTGTTATTGGCAATAACCACAACCGTGGCTGGAGTTGATCCTATGTTCTCAGGAATATTGGACGAGAAGCGGTTGTTGTTCACAAATATAGCGTCGAAACTTTGTTTGAAAAGCTTAGGAGGCAATTCCCCTTCAAAGTCATTGAACCTGATGTCAATGTATCTGAGTTCTGAAATTTCAAGCACGTGTTCAGGGAACCGCCCAACAAAGCGGTTGTTGCTGATGTCTAGCTCATAGAGAATCCGAAGGTTGGAAAAGCTGTGTGTGATGATCCCGCAAAACCTGTTGGAGTTTATATGCAAAAGTGCAAGGTCAGTTAACAGACCAACTTCTGGGGGAAGGTAACCTGCGATGTCTGCATGGTTAAGATCAATCCCAGCCACAACTTGGATATTTTTGTCATCAAGAGCCTGTGCACAAAAAACTCCATTGTAGGAGCAAACGTCTTGGCCCGACCAATTTGATGTGAAATTTGAGGGGTCTGAGTAGATAGCTTTTTTCCACGCCTCGAGTGCAATGTATGCAGCTTTTAGCCTGGTGTGAGCGAATTTTAGGTTTGTTTTGTAGTTACTTACGTAGTTGTCGGGCAAGTCCTGATTCTCCTCCAAATGCATCATTTGGCGACGAGCAATGAAAGAGGCTTCGACATCGGAAAGTGCATGGGAGAAAGATGATAGTGATGAGAAGAGGAATAGGGAGAGTAAGAGAAAGAAGCTGGAGGCCATTCTGAGAGAGATGATGCATTAGGTTGGAAGGGGAAGAGTGCTTATAGAGGTACGTAGGAGGAGAAGAGAAGGTTAAGTTACAAGCCATACGAGAGGCTCTGCTGTGATTTCTCAATTCCAGGCCACAAAAATAGATAATCTTCTTTCTTTCTATTTTCTCCTTATTCTTAACCTCTTCTTCCTTCCACTGTTTTTCCTTTTAGATGTATTTTTGTTTCAAAACCATAGATTTATTAGCTACTTACCTAAATTTATGTTTCTTCTATGTCCTCTGCATAGACCAAAGTCAACAGTTATGGCTGGTTAATATCCATCCACTGCATGCCTTCTCTTCTTTAACGTTTCACCTTTCATTCTTTTTGTGTATTCTCATAGTTTATATATATATATATATATATATATATATATATATGCAAAATTTTCTTATTATTTAAGCTTAATTCATAATAATTATTGCATAATAAGGTTAATATTTATGTATTTGATTCAAAATATCGTTTGATCTTTAACTTATATTTTTAGATATTTCAATTATTTATTTTTGTACATATATTTTTTCAATTAATGATTTAAAAATTATTTTATTCATTTGAAAAATGTACAATAAAATTATTATTTTTAAATATTACTTTAGTTCAGGATTAGGATTTAATGACAAAAAATATTAATAAATTTTATTTTTTTAAGACATCAAATTTCTTTAATAGAAACCAAGAAAAACCCTCACTTGATGGGATCTTTACTATATGTATTTTTTGGAAGGAAAATATATTTTTAACAATATTTTTTGACAATTATTTTACAACAAAACTTGTGATTGATATATTTTAAATAAACAAACCAATAAAATAATAACACATAATTTATTATTAAAAAATAATTAAAAAATTGTTAAAATATCATGATTCTATTAATACCAAACTATTATTAAGTTGAGGTAATTACTAAAGGACATGAAAACAGTATTAAATAAAGTTAATTACGATAATGTGATCAGAATTATTCAAATAAAAGATCTATAAACACAGTATATAGAATAAATAAATTATATTATATTATNCCAAATGGGGCAAGCTGCAAACATTACGAGGGACAAAACCTGTAAACTTGTTATGTGAAATGGACAAGTACTCAACGTTCTTAAGCCCATTGAAGTTCCTCGGCAACACGCCAACGAAGTTGTTGTAGCTTATGTCAAACACCGTAACTTTTTCGAGTTTTCCAATTTCTTCTGGCAAGCAACCGGTGAGGTTGTTGTTGACCAAAACAAACTCGTTTAGCGACTTCATTTCGCCGACGCTGGAAGGCACGCATCCTGAGAAATTGTTATTGGCAATAACCACAACCGTGGCTGGAGTTGATCCTATGTTCTCAGGAATATTGGACGAGAAGCGGTTGTTGTTCACAAATATAGCGTCGAAACTTTGTTTGAAAAGCTTAGGAGGCAATTCCCCTTCAAAGTCATTGAACCTGATGTCAATGTATCTGAGTTCTGAAATTTCAAGCACGTGTTCAGGGAACCGCCCAACAAAGCGGTTGTTGCTGATGTCTAGCTCATAGAGAATCCGAAGGTTGGAAAAGCTGTGTGGGATGATCCCGCAAAACCTGTTGGAGTTTATATGCAAAAGTGCAAGGTCAGTTAACAGACCAACTTCTGGGGGAAGGTAACCTGCGATGTCTGCATGGTTAAGATCAATCCCAGCCACAACTTGGATATTTTTGTCATCAAGAGCCTGTGCACAAAAAACTCCATTGTAGGAGCAAACGTCTTGGCCCGACCAATTTGATGTGAAATTTGAGGGGTCTGAGTAGATAGCTTTTTTCCACGCCTCGAGTGCAATGTATGCAGCTTTTAGCCTGGTGTGAGCGAATTTTAGGTTTGTTTTGTAGTTACTTACGTAGTTGTCGGGCAAGTCCTGATTCTCCTCCAAATGCATCATTTGGCGACGAGCAATGAAAGAGGCTTCGACATCGGAAAGTGCATGGGAGAAAGATGATAGTGATGAGAAGAGGAATAGGGAGAGTAAGAGAAAGAAGCTGGAGGCCATTCTGAGAGAGATGATGCATTAGGTTGGAAGGGGAAGAGTGCTTATAGAGGTACGTAGGAGGAGAAGAGAAGGTTAAGTTACAAGCCATACGAGAGGCTCTGCTGTGATTTCTCAATTCCAGGCCACAAAAATAGATAATCTTCTTTCTTTCTATTTTCTCCTTATTCTTAACCTCTTCTTCCTTCCACTGTTTTTCCTTTTAGATGTATTTTTGTTTCAAAACCATAGATTTATTAGCTACTTACCTAAATTTATGTTTCTTCTATGTCCTCTGCATAGACCAAAGTCAACAGTTATGGCTGGTTAATATCCATCCACTGCATGCCTTCTCTTCTTTAACGTTTCACCTTTCATTCTTTTTGTGTATTCTCATAGTTTATATATATATATATATATATATATATATATATATGCAAAATTTTCTTATTATTTAAGCTTAATTCATAATAATTATTGCATAATAAGGTTAATATTTATGTATTTGATTCAAAATATCGTTTGATCTTTAACTTATATTTTTAGATATTTCAATTATTTATTTTTGTACATATATTTTTTCAATTAATGATTTAAAAATTATTTTATTCATTTGAAAAATGTACAATAAAATTATTATTTTTAAATATTACTTTAGTTCAGGATTAGGATTTAATGACAAAAAATATTAATAAATTTTATTTTTTTAAGACATCAAATTTCTTTAATAGAAACCAAGAAAAACCCTCACTTGATGGGATCTTTACTATATGTATTTTTTGGAAGGAAAATATATTTTTAACAATATTTTTTGACAATTATTTTACAACAAAACTTGTGATTGATATATTTTAAATAAACAAACCAATAAAATAATAACACATAATTTATTATTAAAAAATAATTAAAAAATTGTTAAAATATCATGATTCTATTAATACCAAACTATTATTAAGTTGAGGTAATTACTAAAGGACATGAAAACAGTATTAAATAAAGTTAATTACGATAATGTGATCAGAATTATTCAAATAAAAGATCTATAAACACAGTATATAGAATAAATAAATTATATTATATTATTACAATATTTATTACCAATAATGCATTTAAGGATTTGAACACCAAAATGTCCTTTACAATTCATTCTTTTCCTTATAAAGAGATGAAAATTTAAAACATCTTGACATAAAAGTGAGGGAATATGTGAAGTACTAATTACTATATATATTTGCTCTTACAAAAACATCATCACTGTATAAAACAACTGTCATCATCAGTCATTCTTGTTGAGCTTGCATCCTTCCTCGTGTTTGCACATAGAATGGAGTTTGATAAATGGATAATTCTTGAGCTAGAGCCACCACACTTTATCTGAAAAATTGTCTATTCCTAGGCAAAGCAACACGCACTGTAAGATAATTATGTGGCTTGAGGAACCACATTATCCATCAATACGGCAGAGCTTACCTTAAAAAATTATTTACAAATTGAGAGGACGAAGAAACAACAAATTATGTAATCATGCTCCTAACTGAGAATTCAATATATGACATTGATTAGACATTAGATCAATTAATAGTTTATAAGTTGGTGTAAATTTTACTCTACAAACTGGTTTTGTGGGGTTGAGTTAGGTTTAAAGTTCACTTCTAACATAGTATCAGAATCATGATTAGAGCATATCCTAATGATACTTGTTGTTTGTTGGACATATTGTTCCACCGGCTATCGGACCGCTATCGGACCACCTATTAAAAATGTTTAATCTCACGCTCGAGATGTATATACCTCGGCGTGAGGGGATGTGTTGGAAGTCCCAAATCGACTAGAGATAAGGCCAATTCATATAAGTGGATGCATACCTCACTTTACAAGCTTGATAAACGTGTTAAATCTGAAATAAATTAATTTGTAAAATAAACATTTTATTATGATTTTTCCAAATAAATAATAGAAATGGAATCTTCAACAGTTACTTTTAAAAGGAAGCAGAAAAAATACAAAGGCAAACCTAGATGGTGCATGTTCCTTTGCGTTATCACTAAACCTGTGTTTACTTGGACAATTGGGCATCACTATCTTTCATAATTTTTTACTTTTTAAATTAAATTTGGATACTTTAAAAGAATATCATTTATTAAAATGATTTTATATAAAATATAAAATATTTATCATGAAAATAAATTTATATATTAAGAGTATTTAGTTAGACAAAATAAATAAACAAAAAAATGTATTTTCAGTTTCTATATCTGATCGTAAATGTCAAATTTCTTTATGTTTTATATCAATGAATTTGATCATAATTTTTTTTTAAAATGTGCATTTAGTTTGTCCGACCTTCAAAAAAACTGGTAAACTTTTAGAGAAATAAACTGGTATTTAATTTTCTAAAATTTAAAAATGGTATTTGATAATTTGGAAATAAAAATTTGAGTTGGTAGGAGTGAATTGAGAAGTGGTGACGGGGTGGAGTTGTGACCCACCATTCCTTTTATTCATAAGCATCTAATCTGAAGTCCTCATCCGTGGCCTATCAGCCAATCAGTCTGGGAGCTCCTTATCCAAATAAATACCCTCTTTTTTGATCTTCCTAGTTCAAAACAACCCTTCCTATCCACAGCTGAAGTGAGTGATACGCGAGCCATTTGCAGCTTTGCTTGATAAAATATTATTTGGTGGGTAGCAGTGAGGATCAAATGGCAATGGCAACAGCTGTCGTATGTCCTCAGAACATCACCGGCGGAGCCGTCGTCAGCTCACCTGCCAAGACCAAGAAGAGAATGAACAGAGTGGTACACATAAGAGGCCTTAATTCATTTGGGGGACTCAAGGCTAGCAATGATGTTGTGGCCTTGGGGCTTCCCTTGAGCACTGAGAAGGGTTTCGCCAAGATTATGAGCTCGGTGAAAGCTGCAGCATCCAATGGAAAAGGAAAGCGAGGAGGGGCGCTTTCATCCACTTGCAATGCCGCCGGTGAGATATTCACAATTGCTGCTATCATCAATGGCCTTGTTCTTGTGGGGGTTGCTGTTGGCTTTGTGCTCCTGCGAGTTGAAGCGTGGGTCGAGGAGTCTGAGGTAGAGTGAAAGTTGAATCAGATAACCAAGTAATTAATTAATATCCACACTATATGTTCCTTCTATATTTCATGCTTCGTCTGTTCTTCTTTTCATTATGACTTGTATATCTATTTCTGAACTTTCATCGTTTTCTTGTTTCCTTCGTAATTGGATGATCTCTCTTCAATAATTTATTGCCTTCAACTGCTGCATTCCCAAACCTCTCCTTCCAACCTGGGAAGTTTCGGCCTCTGGACTGCATACCACCCAATTATTTTTTAAAATTACTCTTAAATTGGGCACACCTTAGGTGCAATTAAGCATTTCCAGTTATCTTTGTGCTTAACAATTTTTAAAAATAAAGGCAAACACGTCAATATTGCATTTTTTTTAAAACGATTAAACATAATCTTGGTATTTTCACAGATTGATATGAATTTTAAAGATTTAATTTAACCGCGCTCGCAATTTCTTTGAATCGTCTCACATCAAATTACAGATTGCTTCGAGTGTTTTACTCATCACAGTGCTAATGGTGTGTAAATAAAAAAGAAAATAATATAATTTTTCAGATGTTCTTAAATGGAACTTTTGAATTTTAAGACTGCGGACAAATTTATATCTTGGTATATTGCCACCTTCCGCTTCAGTTTCATTAACACACGAGGCTGGTGCTCCGCTCAAAATATACTATTATGTCAGCAGAAAATGTTTTGATGCTAAACACATTCTCTCAAATCGCATCTCAAATTAAGGATATAAAATCATAGGTATGTGTAGAAACTTAGTGAGACCAGTTACAACAAGCCGGCAAAACCACATACATGCTGAATGATACATAGAAAATGTCCCACGCTACCACAACCAGCGAAACATTTAGTCTTGACTCACTCGTTAGGTGAATTTGTGCGACGTGGGTGGGCATGGCCAGCAACCGAACCCCTGTTAATATAAGATTTCGTAAGTTGTTTCACAATGATTTGTTTGCAGCCATCATTCTAAAAACTGGAGTTTGGGATAGACAAGGCATGGGTGGGTCAATAATGGATAGGGCGTGGGTTAAAAATGGGAAATCCTACGGAGTTTCAAACATAAAGTGTTTGCAACCTGTTATCCCAGACGATGACAAAAATTTCTAATGAATTGCAGCAGTCAACATTCTACCTCAAGAAGATAAATAAGCGTGTTAAATTTAATCACACTATTAAGAAACTACAATTGATAAAACATTTATGAAACTAAAATCATTGCGGCTGCCAAAAAGAAGCAGATGACTCTGGACCAAAACTCCAGCCAGAAAATAGTTAACCAGGATTCTATCATTGTGCAAACAGCTTTCTCACACCGAGGGTCTCTGACACGCAGCAAACAGTTGCCAGCTAATAAAAGCCATCACCAGAGATGTGAACAGCTCAAAGCCTACCACTTTAGGAAAGTGCCACCCCAATCCACGCCTCAGATAGCTGCAGAAGACATTGTTCATCAAATATCACACTTCAGTAAATGACATATAAAATGATTTTTTAATGGCTGACTAAATAATTACACTACCATATACCCAAGTAAAATATCTAATACTAGTACAACAGCATATGATGGGTAATCTGATCGTAATGGAATCATTTGCACAGCGAGATGAGGTAAGCTCAAGACTTATGTTATGCTTGGTTCTCAATCCAAAGACTTGTATTGCATAGGAAAAAAATAGTAGAAATTTTTTAATATGAATATGAAATTACACATTTACAACGGATAATGATACTTTGACAATATTTTTTTGACAACATTTTAACATCATTTACGTGTTATTCTGTGATTAGTCCATGTTGGTGTTTATGATTATTATTATTGATTGTAGAGTAATTTTGGACCAATCATAGAATGACACGTAGACGATGTTAAAATGTTGTCAAAAAAATATTGTTAAAGTATCATTATCCTTTACATATCATAACAGTAACTGTAATGAATCAGGGAAAGACCTTGTGATAGATGGCATGGTTGCTACAATCCCGGCACTCAAATAAATAATAGGGATGAGGGTCTTTGGCTTATTTTTTCGAAGCCACATCA